GCACTCTTATGCAAATCAGGAAGAGCTGCAGCTCTTCAGAACTTTTCCATAACTACGTGATATTTAAAAACCTGTTTAGACTTGTTTCAATAAACCTTTAAAATAGTGTTTGAAATTTATGTTCCCTGATAGAAGCAGCAGGATAACTCTTTAACTAATGCAAATCAGCAGGTTTATTGATAACAAAAATAATTGTCACTTTAATTTGCTTGAAGTTGAACATTCAACTTTTTAATCACCACAGATTTACTGCAGAGTAACAATTTTTAATATATAAGTATATATTCTTGTTTAGAATTTTATTTTAGTATTTTTCACTTCTGTTTCTGCTCTTATTGTGGAAGAAAAGCTTCCCTGCTTTTCAGATCTTTTACACCCTTCTCAAAATACACTTTTTAAAAATTTCTTACACTGTATGTTATCACGCTAGTCAACATCAAATCATTTATTTAATATTCTACGCTGAAGATTTTATTAGCTGCTGAAATCCTACCATATGTGCTTCAGTTTTCAGAATTTGGGCATTCAGTGTGTGAAGAAGAAAGACTTGAAGGAATCAATTTCTTTACGAATCTCAAAGAAGATTAACCCTTTCAATGGTGAGTGAAACTTAGCTGGTTCACTTTGCAGGGTGGTGGGGTTTTGTTTGTTCTGGCTTTGCATTTGTGGTGGAGCTTTATTTTTTCCAAAAAAATATATTCTGATAAACAGTATTTCCCTTGTGTCCCTTCTAGTCTTTCCTCACTGTCATCACACGATGAATCTGTTTGGATATTTGCTGCCTTCCAACCCCCCCCCCCTTTTTTCTTTTTTTTAATCCCCAGCAGCAATGTGAGTGGCTGCTTGGACAGAAGCAATGGGATAGCAGCAGCAACTGTCCATGGAAACTTCTACAAGTACCTCAGGAATCATTCCCCAGTTTTTGCAGCTATGAGAATGAAAGACTGAATTAGCATAACTCTGCAACATCTTAAACCAATATAAATCTAGCTTGCCACCGTCCCATCTCTTCTTTTGTGACACTGGTGTTTGTGACCTCTCAGCCAGCCAGTTCAGGGAGCTGATAGATTCCTTGAAGCCACCCCTTGCTTGATGTTACAGGAGCTCAGGAAGTCCACAGCAGTATTGGCCTCAGTCAAGTCTGAGGCAAGCTGTGCTGCTACAGAGCCACACCTGTAAGGGCCTACCCACAGGCTGTAGTTTTATATGACAGCTGATCTGTCAGCTGCTCTCAGAAAGAGTCATCCTGCTCTTCCCTCCATCCTTGGTCACACACTCCTACTACTTTCCTGACACCAAATACAGAGACTGTGTGGCTGCATGGTGAACAACGGACTCAGCATGTTGGAAAACCAACTTGCAAAAAAAAAGTTTCCCCTCAGATCAACTTGCTAAACTGATTTATCTCACAGCCATGTAACTGCTAAGTTCGATGCGCAGAGGGGGTGGGGAACACCCAGCAAATTGTAAGGCCAACTGGACGGGGTCCAACACTTCCAGCATGCAGGCACAGCTGGGGGGAATTAGATGAAAAGCACAACCCCCCTCAAACTATTAGCTAAATGTTATTATGAATGCAGTTATGTATTTGCTTAAGTGTGACAAGAGCTTGGAGATTTTTCAAATACTTTTTTTTTTAAATACCCACAGAAGTCTTCTTAAATTCAGGTAAGACTGTTCTGAGAGAGTTGAGAACTGGGATCTGGCTAGCTTCAAAATACCTACTTTGCTTTTGTCCTGAACCATGTAGAAGTTATTAAAGAATGAGAAATGTTTTAGATCATTTTTCTTAATTTTAGAACAGCCATTTGGAGTCAGGCTGATGGTCTTATTGATCCATCTAGATAACTGTCCTGGTTCTGATAATATATGCACACAATAGCATCTGTTTTTACATTAGTTTAGTCCATCAGCACAATTTAAACAGTGTAAGTGTTTTAATTATTTTACCTTGACTCAGCCAGCTCTGCCTTGATTTGAGACAGAAAAGGGGACTGTTCTGTTCAGCTCGCTTGGCTTTCTTTCGCTCCATAAAAAAAAGACATTTTCTCTTGATGTTGTGCTGTAAAAGGACATTGATAAAATCCCTTTTTGTACATGTATTTCACAAAAGAGACTTTAGCAACCACATAGTTAGCTCTGTTCCTAGCACTGCTGAGTGTAGTAGTGAAGACATGTTTAACTAAAATTATTTGACAGTACATTTTTACAGCGATTGGCACATAACTCCAAATGAACTACTCGCTGATGGGTGATTACAGGAGGTTGCACTTGGCAGCGTCAGGGCAGATCCTGGTCTGCTTTCCACCAGTCCAGCAGCAGAGGAGATACTTGCTCGGGTGACACACAAGGCAGGACTCTGCTCTTGTCGGGCGTTGTGCTGAGAAGCAGCCACTGGCAATCCCCAGTCTGCATAATTGTGCCTTTTGGCACTTGTTAATATGTCAGCACAAAGCAGAGCCGCCTTGAGAGTGACCTCCATCAGCTGCGGGGCAGTCCCATGCTAAGTAGAGCCCAGAAGGGCATAGGACCAAGGTCTAATAAAACAGGATTAGTGATAGAAGTATTTTTATGTGTATACTTAGTTGATCAAAACAGGGTTTCATTAGCAGCAGTCACCATAATGTTCGCTGCTTGATAAGATTGAAAGTTTTATGTATGGATTTAGTGTGTTTTTTAAGGTCAGAAGAATATCATTATATTCTTCAAGATTGCACAGGCTCTATTGTATCCATCCTGCATTGTGATTTATTTAGGTGTCTGCAGAAAGGCATCTGACTTCTGTTTAGAGACATTTGGGAGTTAGGTGCATCCTCTAAGCAGGTCGCAAGCTAGTGTTACTCATTTCTTGTGTGAACATCATAAAATAAATTTCATGGAGCTGAAAACTAGCCTGCACGGTGTTTGTGAGTTGGTTGTTTTTTCTTTTTGTTTCCCACCTTTTCTGGAACAGTCAAACAGTCCCTGTCCTGAGTCTCCTTTCGGGGCAGAGGTTTGGTATTAACCCTATTAACAGATGCAAAATGCCTCCAGCCTGCCAGCATATGTTTTACTTGTCAGTAAGGGATGAAGTAATAGCAAGGTGTGGGTCCACGAAGTTGTGTTCCAAACTTCTTTGTATAAAGGGGCCATGGATTTCAGCAAAACCCAGGTGCCACAGGCAACTCTAATGGCAAAGGGAGAGTGAGCTCTAATACAAATTCTCTGGTGGTGTCATTCCTCCTTCATGCCTTCCAGCATATGGTATGGACACACGCTGAGTGAGGGTCATCATCAGAAACACTGGGAAGTTGCTTGGTCAAGATGTATGCGGTTAAAGATCATTTTCTCCAGCACTCTTGCCTATACTGTTGAAGCAACTGATGTCTACCTCTGAACACCTGGATGATTAGAAGTCGGTGTTTGCAGATCATGCTGTGTGCCTAGCTGGAGCTGTCTGCGTGTGAGCCATTCTGCAAGCGTATCTGTAAGGCTGTTTCACTATGAATTCTGTGCTATTGTCTTGGCAGCATTTTTCCCTCGTTAAGTTCAGTACAGGCTGTGCAAATTGTGTGCATTCACTAGGATGCTCAGGTTGTTCCTCTTGCATGAGCCTCATTTAAGAGAGTTGCTGTTTTCATGCCATCTCTGGACATGTTCATGATCTGCTGTGTTCACGAGGCACATCCCATATATTTTTGAATATAAGTTGAATAAGAATAAGCTGAACAACTCTGGAAATCTCTCTTGTCTCTCATCCCTGAGCGCACCAGGGAAATGGTGTGTATTGGCAACCTAAAGTATAACTAGGACTTCTGGGCATGCTGATGATATAAATAGCACAGCGTTGAAGGAGCAGAGTTACTCCTCCAGTGGAGCTGGTCCATGTCTGCTTTTTAGGGTGTTTGTTTTCTTTTAGTAGCTGTTGAGTTGTGCCATATCCTTGTCTTCCCATGTACTGTCTGATGTACAGCCAACTCAAATTAAAAGAAGAGCCAGTCTTCAGTTAAGAGCTTTTGTGGGTGGATGTGACTTGACATTGAGACAACAATTGAGTTAATAACGACTCAAGTTAATTATCAATGAGGAAGAGCCCTAAATATGTTCTTTAAATTTGGAGGAAAACTTAGCAGAGTATTGCAGAGGACTAATCTTTTTCTAACCAAATGGATGACACCATGAAAACCCTTGTCTTAGAGTGAGAAACACAGAGAATTGCCAAATTTCAGGCTGTTGATCAAGAGGGTGTAAAGGGCTTTCCCTGGAGCTTGACACATGCCTAAGGATCTTGTGCCTTTGTAATTGCTCTAGCTAGTAAGCATTTAGTTAATTTTTAGGCGCTCTCCTGTACTGCACAGCTAATGCAGCTGTTTTGCCTCCGCAGCCTCTTTCCTTTGCTGTTTCCCTTTTCCACCCGCAAGCAGCTGACCCCGCGTTGGCTTTGCACTCGTCACAGTCTCCAGCCCCCCCCCCCCGCCTCTGCACTGCGCCCACACTCGTCCCCACACCAGTCAGTCACACTCGCTTCCTGCTCGCACGCGCAGTCACCCACTCCACAGCTTCCCTCACTGGCCCCAGCGCAGCTGCGCTCGTGGGACCCCCTCACCTCTGACGCCACTCGCCCACATTGGCCATGTTTGCTGGGATTCCACCCTCTCCAGCCTTCTTGCTGCAGGGGAGCCCCTGCTTTACAGGGAGGCTTATTGGGCCACGGATTATGTGATGAGCAAACAAGCAAAATATTATGAAACAGAAGAAGACTTGTAGCAAGAATTTGGGAGTGGGGAATGGTTTGAAAGTGTACAGGATCAGTCCTCTTGTAATGAATGCCCCAGGTGTTAAGAGAAAATTTAAACTTCTGTCCTTGAACTGAAACTAATGTCTAACCCTTCTCCCCTGCCCCGAATTCTCAAGCTGAAAATCTTGGTGAGAGTTCTCAGCTTTTTAAGAGGCACAGAGCAAGTCCACTTGCGGAAAGCTAAATGTTCTGATCATAACATGACTTTAGCTTTTACTTTTGGAAAGCCCTTTGTTCTTTCATTCCTCATGCAAATGCTTCTTGCTGTTTATGCTGAAATTTTTATGTGAACCTACAGGGCAGCCCCTTTTCAAGTTGTTTAAACATGAAAAGGAAAATTAACAAATAGAGACACAAAATTGCTGACTTCTTTTTTTTGTGCTATAAACAGAAACTGCTAAAAAATGTCATACAGGGGCTGCTGGATATATTTGCTTAAATCTGTTCTATTTTTAACTTTTTTTATATTGGACTTGGGAAGAGAACCCAGATTCAGAGAAACACTGTCTAGATAAAACAAGGACTAAGTTTCGAGAGTTTGAATTTGTATTCCTAGTTCTTCCCTTGGCTTTTGTATTGGGCCAGGCCATTCATCTTCCTTGTGCTGCTTTCTTCTGTAGAACAGGGATGGTGCCGCTTCCATATGCTGAAGCAACCTGAAAGATGCATGAGGGAAATGTAACAGTAGTAGTTTGGGCATTTATTGACTGCAGGTTAGCGTCTGAATTTGACAGTCATTTGCACTAATCAGCTCCCTGAGTTTTTACTTGTTTACAATTGTTGAGCATTGCTGATGCATGTTCTGGGTATAGGTACATGCAA